GGATAAAAAGGAGCCGGAGGGGGGGGTGTGGGGGGGGTTGGTGCCCAGCCCCGTCCTGGGGTCAGGCTGGTCCGCTGGGTCCCTGGTGGCCTATGTTGAGCTAATGCTATGATTGCTTGGTGGGGCGGGAGGGGAAGGGGAAGGGAGCGGGCGGGTGACAAATGAGCCTCCCCAGTCGCTGGCTGCTGAGGTGATGGATGGCCCTGACCACCCAGCACAGGGGTGGATGCAGAGACGGGGCCCCAAGATAAATGTGTCCTTCCCCTAGAGCCAGGCCAGCCAGGGAGGACCGGAGGCTCCCGAAGGCCTGGACAGCGGGGTGCAGGGAGAACCTGGGAGACAAGAGAGGCGCAGCAATGGAGTGAGGTGGAAAGAGAGAGGGACACAGAGGCCCAGAGGCAGAAAGGGGGAATTTTCCAGACAATGACAGACAAGGCAAAGCAGAAAGCCACAAGACAGACCAACAGACACACACCTCAGGCAGAAAAAGAAACAAACTAAGCCTAGACCCCCTTTCTTCCATGCTCTGAGCAGAGACAGGTCCTGAAGGAGGCCAGGATAGAGGGACAAGGGACAGAGATTTGCTCCCCAGAAGGAGGAGATAAACACAGAGCTGTTGACAAAGAGGGAAACTGAGGCAGAGAGCTGGCAGGACAGAGTTTGCAGAAAGGAGGGGGCTCTCAACAGGTCCTTGCTCACTCCACCCCAGAAATACTGGGGGTTCCTGGGTTGTTGTGGCTGCTCAAGGGTCACAGCCCCATGGGTCTGAGCTGGGATGGGGGGAGAACGGGGACAACACGGTCCTGCCCAGGTGGCTGAGGTGAGCGATGAGCTGGGGAAAGTTGTGTGGGAGAGGCCTGGGCGGTCCCCCAAACACTCAGACGGTCATGGGTTGGCATGGCCTGGCCCTTCCCACCTGTAAGATGGGGTGAGCAGGGCAGCTGGGAGGCTGCACCTGAGCTGCACCCCCAGGCTGAGCCCGGTGTGGACACCCACAGAGCAGCACCAACCTGAGGTCACTTCCTGACACCTGCCCAGAGGCCAAACACCAACTCCTGGAGGGCAGTCGGGTGGCAATGACAAGCCCAGACCTGGCTGCCACCTCCCTGTCCCCTGCGGGTCACAGCCCAAGCACTGCGTGAGGGAGGGACGCTGCCAGGGAGAGGGGCCAGAGCTCAGAGAGACAGACAGGCCAGAGTGTGCGTGCGTGTGAGCGCGTGCGTGTGAGCGCGTGCGTGTGAGCGCGTGCGTGTGAGCGCGTGCGTGTGAGCGAGTACGCGTGTCTGTGTGTGCGCTGTGTGCACAGATATGCGTGTGTGGGAGCACATGTGTGTGCACATGTGTTTGTGCGTGTCGGGGAGACAGATGCGGGAAGCAGCAGCACCACCTCCCGCCTCCTTCCTCCAGTGGCTCGTCCTCCATCCAGACACCCTTACTCCTCCCTCTCGCTAATTAAGAAGATTTGTTCCCTGAGTCCAGGCTGGGAGGCTGAGGGTCCCGCGCTCAGAGCCAGGGCAGAAACTGCTCCGGTCTCCCTCTCTCTCCTCTCCCTCTCCGTCTCTGTCTGTCTTTCTGTCTCCCTCTCTGTCTCTGTCTCTCTGTCCCTCTCTCCCTCTCCTCACTCTGTCTCTCTCCCTATATCTGTTTCTCTCTCCCTCTCTTCTCTCTCTCTCTGTTCCTCTAGCTCTCTCCTCCTCTGTCTGTCTGTCTCTGTATGTCTATCTCTCTTTCCCTCTCTAACACACCCTCCCCAACCTCCCCCATCTGGGACCCCAGACCTGAATCTCCTCTGAGGCTGTGGTGGGGGTGGGGCAGACAGAAGAGCTTTGCATCTTTAATTAAAAAGTGATTTAAATTAATTTTCTGCTCCAGAACCCCTAACTGGGGGGCGGGGTGAGTAGTAGTGATTAAAGGCTCTCCAGACCCCCTCCGCCTGCCTTAAAGGGCCAGGTCACCCACAGGACAGTGTGGAGGGTGCTTTAAGGGGGCTCTCCTACAATGTGTCCGGCACAGGGTCCAGCACAAGCCAGCTTAACCTTTTCCTCTTTCTTTTCCCTTTTGTTTGTTTTGGTTTGTTTTTAAGACAGGGTCTCACTTTGTAGCCCAGAGTGGCCTGGAACTCTCAATCCTCCTGCCTCAGCCTCCAGAATGCTGGGATTACAGAAGTACCCCACCAAGCCCGGCTCTTAGCTTGATGTTTTCTCCATTATCCTCCTGTCGTAGGACGGATGGTGAAGCTGAGAGGAGGGAAGGGGAGGCCTGTCCTATGTGGTCCCAGGCTCCAGGGTCGGCAGCATGACCAGGGCAGGAGAGGACAGAGTCAGGGAGAGAGAGACTGGAAAAGAGAGAGAGGAGAGAGATGAGAGACAGAAACAAAGACAGCGACAGATCAGCCAGAAGCCCCAGGACTCCCACAGGAAGTACCAAGCCTTGGGGGCGGGGAGGCTTGCAGATGCCTGAGGCCCAGGCCCTGTCCTTCCTCACCATCGCCCGCAGCCTCCCACTCACCCTCTCCCCTCTGGAAGTGCTGCTGCTGTCTCGCTGCAGTCCCTCATGCTGCAGCTTCTGCTCTGTCTCCCTGCTGCCCTGGGCCTGAGTGGTTTTGTTTTATTTCCAGCAGATGCAGAAAGAGGGAGCATCAAGGAGGACCAGGCAGCGTTTTTCTAACTGTCGTAAAAATGTAACCTCAGAGAGCCTGGAGCGTGGGTGCTGCCTCCTTGTTTTATGGTTCTAGTTCCCTCTTTTGGTGTCTGTCCCTCTCTCTTGGTGTCTGTCCCTCTCTCTTGGTCTCTGTCCCTCTGTCTTGGTGTCTGTCCCTCTGTCTTGGTGTCTGTCCCTCTCTCTTGGTCTCTGTCCCTCTGTCTTGGTGTCTGTCCCTCTGTCTTGGTGTCTGTCCCTCTCTCTTGGTCTCTGTCCCTCTGTCTTGGTGTCTGTCCCTCTGTCTTGGTGTCTGTCCCTCTCTCTTGGTCTCTGTCCCTCTCTCTTGGTCTCTGTCCCTCTGTCTTGGTGTCTGTCCCTCTCTCTTGGTCTCTGTCCCTCTGTCTTGGTGTCTGTCCCTCTCTCTTGGTGTCTGTCCCTCTCTCTTGGTCTCTGTCCCTCTGTCTTGGTGTCTGTCCCTCTCTCTTGGTCTCTGTCCCTCTGTCTTGGTGTCTGTCCCTCTCTGTTGGTGTCTGTCCCTCTCTCTTGGTCTCTGTCCCTCTGTCTTGGTCTCTGTCCCTCTCTCTTGGTGTCTGTCCCTCTGTCTTGGTGTCTGTCCCTCTCTCTTGGTGTCTGTCCCTCTCTCTTGGTCTCTGTCCCTCTGTCTTGGTCTCTGTCCCTCTCTCTTGGTGTCTGACCAACTCTCAGGACCTTTCTCTCATCCCTTCCTCTCTCTCTGGCTCTGACTCAAGTCTTTCTCTTTGGTGCCTTTCCTGTGACATGATCTTGGTAAATACTTGGGGTCCAGTCTCCCTCTGTGGGAACAAAATGAACTCACTGGACGCCTCCATGGGGAAAACACACACACACGCGCCAAGTCCCAATTTCTATGTTGACTTGGGGGTTCTTAAGTCTCCTGACACCCATTTGCACTCCCCCACACAGTCTGAGGACAGGGGAGGACAAAGACCCCCCCAAGTAGCCATGGCCCTGCAGAGAACAGTGTCTAGCTGTTGCCCTCTTGTGGCACCCCCTCCTCTGGCCTCTCCTGGCTGCTGCCCCAGGGCCTGTGCACCTGCTCTTCTCAGGGTGCAATGCTTGTTCCCTGGCCTGCAGGACTCCACCCTCACCTGCTCAGGTCTGTCACCTGGCACTTCTGGACAGGGCCTTAAAAACCATCCCTAACTCTGTTTCAGAGCACTTGTCACCCCAGCATTAATTCCTATTTAGACATTTGTTCCTTGGCTATTCTCTCTCATCAGTTTGCCTCACTAGCTCCAACCCTAGCTCAAAAACCCTCTCTCCAACACGTTGTGTCCTAAGAGCTCCAGAAGAGCTAAGAACCCTCGCTCCAACACGTATGTGACACGTGTGACTGTACTGGCCCTACCTCGATTGTGGAGGGAGCCGCTGAGGGGACTTCAGGCACAGGGTCTACAAGGCTGGGGTCCGGGATGAGCGGAGGGACAGGGGTGGGCTCACACTTACTGCAGGCCCTGCGTGTCCTTGTCTCCAAAGGGAGGCAGGGAAGGGGACAAAGCTCGAAGAGAAATCAAAATATATGCGTTTGGGTCCTCCCTGCCTTCTGTCCGGTCTGACTCACTCTCTCACTCTCTCTCTCTCTCTCTCTCTCTCTCTGTCTGAGAGGAAGGAGGAGGAGGAGGAGGAGGAGAAAAGAAAGGATAAAGGAGAGAGGAGGAAGGGAGAGAGAGGAGAGGAGAGAGGGAGAGACAGACAGACAAGAGAAGATCGCGAGAGACAGCAGCGGAGCTGGGGCGCGGGAGGGGACAGGAGGGGGTGGGGAGGACGGGGCCCGGGACCCTGGGAGCCTGGGATACAAAGGCCGCGGGGAGAGCGACGCCAGCCCTTGGGGGCGGGGGAGGGGGGACGGGAGGGGACGGAGGGAGGGCGGGGGAGGGGAGGGCGGGGCGGGGCAGGAAGGGACGGGGGGAGGGCGGGGGAGGGGAGGGGCGGGGCGGGAGGGGACGGAGGGAGGGCGGTCCCCGACTCCTCGCCCGCCCCGCCCGCCCGGCGGACCGCGGGTTAAGCATCTCAGCGGAGGAACTTCCGGATGTGACCACAGAGGGGGCGCTGGGAGGGACAGCGAGCGAGGAGAGAGAGCGAGAGCAAGAGAGAGAGAGAGAGAGGGAGAGCGAGAGCGAGCGCCGGCCCTGCGCCGGCCGCGCTCGCTCGGATCCGCCACTGTCGCCGCTCGGGTTCCGCAGCCCCGGGCGCGGCGGGCCGGGCGGGACCGCGGGCGACCTCCGCCGGCGCCGTCCCCGCCGCGATGCGCCCCCCGCTGTGACCCGCGCCCCAGCTCCGCCCCGCCCGCCGGGCGCCGCCAGCGCCGCCGGCCCCAGCCCATGGCCCGGAGGGTAGGTGTGACCCTCCCGGCGCTGTGCCCCAGGTCCCTCTCCTCTCTCTGTCCATCTGTCTGCTCTCAGTGTCCCCTCCCTGTGTCCCTCAGTGTCCACCTCTCCGTCCCTCACTGTCCCCTCCCTGTGTCCCTCTCTCTGCCCCTCATTGTCCCTCTCTCAGCTCCTTACTGTCCCCTCCCTCTGCCCTCACTCTTCCCTCCCTCTGCCCCTCACTGTCCCCTCTCTGTCCCTCCGAGTCTCCTCTGCCCCTCACTGTCCCTTCCCCCTCTCCCTGTCCCCTCTCTCTGTCCCTGGGTCTTCTCATCTCAGGCCCTTTATCCCTGCTCCCTCCACCCCATTCTCTTCCTTCTGTTTCCCCGCCCTTCTTCCTGATCTACTTTCCTGGGAGACCCTGGGGTTAGAGGTGGGGACAGTGCAGAAGTGGGTCTCACCAGGCTGTAGGACAAGGGTCCTCTGTTTTGGTCCTGGAGACATAGGGAGAGATCAAAGGAGACAGGGGAGAAGGCAATACCCACTTTAGGGGGTGGGGGTCAGCACCTGGCAGGAGGTGAGGACCCCGCTTTGTGGGTGTGTGGTGAACAGCAGCAGGGAGCTGAATTCAAGTCCAGGGCTCTGGAGAAGTTAGAGAGAAAGCAAAGATGGAGAGAGGGGAGAGCCTGACCCATTGCTCTGGTGGTGGTTCGGTGGCACAGAACCCGGAAATCTCGCCTGGATGCTCTCTGAGGCTGTTTGCACAAGTGTGTTTGTGCGTTCCTTTGGCGTCACTCCTCACCACGTGTTTGTGGAATGGGAGCCAGGCACTTGCTAAATGTCTCATTCATTCCTTCCTGAGCCTGGTGGTGTTTGGCTGCGTGTGTGTGCGTGTGTGTCGGGGGATCTCTGGTGATTTGTGTACTCTAAGGACTTGTACCATGCACACACGTGCATGTGTAGACACAGGGTACATGTGTATTGTGTGGCCGGTGGGGTGTGACAAGTTGTTCCGACAATCAAATGCATGCTCATACGTTTGTGATGTGAAATGAAAGTGGGAAGAGACTTGCGAGGGGATATTTGTGCCCAATCAGCACCCTGTTTCTTTAAGAGGTGCCCCTGGGAGCCCCTCTTCTCTCCTCTGCTGCAGCTCGTGCTGTCTCTCTCTCTCCCGCATCTCTTGGTTTCAGAACCCCTCTGCCCTCTTCCCTCCCTGGAAGTTAATGGCCAGACCCCCCACTCCCTCCTCCATGACCCCCAACCCTGACCTGGGTTAGTTCCTGTCTCAGGGTTCTTGCCTCTCAGGAGGACTCCAAGATGGGACATGTTTCAAGGTCCAGGGCACCTGGGATGGCACTCTCAGTCCTCCCCAGCCGGCTCCACAGAACACTAGGGTCTGGGACCCATGGGGACAGAGGGTGCCTCTCACGGGTCCTGGCATAGATATGCTGATCAGCTGGACAGCTGAGTCTTGGGGTGCTGACTCCCGGGGGCTCCCCTCTCGCCTCCCCCAGTACGATGAGCTGCCCCACTACCCAGGCATAGCGGACCGCACAGCAGCCCTGGCTGGCTTCTCCCAGGCAGCACCCCAGCACCCCGAGCCCCTGGACCCTACGGCCAGCACCGGCCTCCCCAGCCTCCACCCCCAGGCTTGAACAGTGACGAGGGACTGAAGAGAGAGAAGGATGACATCTATGGGTGAGTGAGTCTGGGACCAAAGTAACAGTCTCTGCATCATCGTGTTGTGTCTTTCCCTGGGGCATCATCTCCTCTGCCCACCCCCCAGATGGGGTCTTGTTACATTGCCCAGACTGGCCTCCAGATCCTCCTGGCTCAGCCTCCTGAGTGCTGGGATTACAGGCTTCCATCACCATGCCCAGCCTTTGTCTCTGTCTCTGACTCTTAAGTCTTCTGTCTGGGTCCCTTGTTCCTTCCCAGTCACTCCATTTCTCCCCTCCTGAGCTCTCTGTTTTCCTGCCCCCACAGACACCCGCTTTTCCCACTGTTGGCCCTGGTCTTTGAGAAGTGTGAACTGGCCACATGCTCGCCCCGCGATGGGGCAGGAACTGGGCTAGGTACATCTCCAGGTGGTGATGTCTGCTCCTCCGATTCCTTCAATGAGGACATCGCCGCCTTTGCTAAGCAGGTGGGCAGCCCGGTTGGTCAGTGGGACATCAGGAGAGCCTGCAGTGAAGATGGGCAGGCGACAGGATCGCCCTCACTGGCCTCTCTTTTCCCTCCCAGATCCGCTCAGAGAGGCCCCTGTTCTCCTCCAACCGAGAGCTGGACAATCTGGTGAGGCCTGGGCCCTCCCCACTGCACTGTCTGAAGGGGGTCTCCTGTCCCGCCCTCTGTATCCCTGGTCCACATTGTCAAATCATGATAATTGGTTTCCATTTGCAACCATTTACAGTACAGCCCAGAGTTTGAGAATAGAACCGTTGGCCTGAGTTCAAATCCCAATTCTGCCACTCTGTAGCTCTGTGAACCAGGGCAAGAGGTTCACAGAGCTGCCTCCCTGTGGTTCATCTGAAAGGTGCAAAGGAGAGGACAGAAAAGAGGAGGATGGAGAGAGGGAGTCAGAGGAGGAGGAGGGAGGGAGGAATATCTTGGTTTCTCTCTTTCTTTGTACCTCAAGGACCCACTAGAGCTTCCTGTTGGCTTAACCCTTTAGCAAAGGACTCTGGGTAATGTGGCTTGCAGGTGGAGGTGCAGGTGGGAGATGCAATGGAGGGCAGGCAGGCATGGTGTGGAGCGTAGCACCGCAGCAGCACGACCCAGTCTCTCTCTCAATCCTGGCTCTGCCTCTAACACCTCTCTCTCTTGCCCTGTTTCTGGACCTCCATCTCTGCACTTTGTTTCTCACTCCACTCCTGTGGTCCTCGTATTCCTTTGCTCTGTCTCTGTCACCCTGTCTTTTGTCATTCTGCCTTTGTGTCTCTCTGTCTTCTCTCCTCCCATCCGTCCGTTCTCAGATGATCCAAGCCATTCAAGTACTCCGGTTCCACCTGCTGGAGCTGGAAAAGGTGAGGGCTTCTTGCCTGCCCCATCCCGCCTCTCACCCCCTGTCCCTGTGCACCCCAGCCCCTGCCCCCGGGTGGCCCCCCCAGTACCCCGGTGCCCCCTCAGGTCCACGACCTGTGCGACAACTTCTGTCACCGCTACATCACCTGCCTCAAGGGAAAAATGCCCATTGACCTGGTCATCGAGGATCGGGATGGCGGCTGCAGGGAGGACCTCGAGGACTACCCAGCCTCCTGTCCCAGCTTCCCAGACCAGGTGGGCATGGGCAGGGCACCAGACATTGCCTAGCAAGAGAAGCTGAGCCAGGACACAGCAGGGGGTGGGCACCACAGCACAGCATCTCAGACACAGCCTGCCATGACAGGTGCATTGCACACGGTCACATGCCAGCTATGCAACAGCAACATAAGGCTGGGACACAGCTGATGTCAGCAGAGACACTCACGTGTGCACACACACCAACACTGCCCAAGGGCTCAGCTACATCCACACCGCCGTTCTAGAGGGAGCGTGTGTGCAGGACACACAAGCTTCAGCCACACAGTCCCAGATATGGCTCGGAAAACTCAGATACAACACAGTGGACCCCAGCTGACCCTGGTACTGCAACCTTCACCACGGAAAAGTTGGGCTGGTGCAGACACGCGCACATACGCGCAGCTTCCCAGCAGCCCTGTGGCCTGGTTCATCTGTGCAGACTTGGAAACAGTCCCACAGGCTTGGAGCCACCCAGGCTCAGCAAAGTGGCAAGGTCAACTAGAAGACCGGTGTAGCAGTTCACAGCTGTAATCCCAGTATTGGAGGAGGCAGGAGGACCAGGAGTTCAGGCTAGCCTGGGCTAAATAGGAAGACCCTGTCTCGACCTCCCACCCACCAAAAAGAAGAAAACAACCAAGCCAGGTGCAGTGGCACATACGTGTAATCCTAGCTACCCTGGAGGTGGATATTGGAAAGATAGAGGTTTGAAGCCAGCCCAGACAAAAAGTTTAGGGACCCCACATCAACCACTAAGCTGGATGTAGTGGAACACGCCTGTCATCTCAGCAACGAGGGAGGTATTAGGGCTCCAGGCTGGCCTGGGGCAAAAACTTGAGACTGGGGGCAGCTCAAGTAGTAGAATGCCTGCCTAGCAAGCACAGGGCTCTGAGTTCAAACCCCGTGCTGCCAAAAAAAAAAAAAAAACAAGATCACATGTCACTGTCTCAGACACAATGGTACCACAGTTTCACCGACTCAGGACACCAGACAATCAATTACACAGGTAACAGCCATGTGGATCCTGACTTGCCACGGCTACATAGAGACAGCAGAGAAGTCTCATGCACTCCAAGGACGGTCACCGGGCAGCCCACCCATCTGTATGTCCCCACAGAGTGGTGTCCTCCACTTGCGTGGGAATAGCACAGCCTTACGAATACAGAAGACAACGGAACCTTGTGATCCCGGAGTCAGATACAGCCACAAAGGCGTGGTGGAGGGGAAGACACACCTCTCAAAGGCTCTTGCGTGTCCCTGCTACAGAATTTATGCGAAAATGTACCCAATTGTGTCCAGGACATTCAGTGCCTGGACCAAAGCCCCAGGTTCCAATAGGAAGTGCAGAATGCACCCACTGGGGAGGGCAGCTTTATTTACTTGTTTTTATTTTGAGACAGGTCTCATTTTGTAGCTCAGGGTTGGCCTGGAACTCACAATTCTCCTGCTTCAGTCTCCAGAGTGCTGGGATTACAGGCATGCATCACCATACCTTGTTTGGTGGACAGCTTTAAGGCTGCTTTTTGTATTCTCAAGTCTGAGGGTGGGCGAGGCAGTGGTTGCCACAATCAGAGAGAGGACAGCGGGGCTGCTAGATGGCTGTCGAGACCTTTGACATTGAACCAGATCCTGGTCAGTCGCTGTAAGTGGGTCAATATCTGGGGGTGCAGAGCCATCGTCAAGGTCTTTAAAGTGTGTCAGAGTTTGGATAAAGAAGATACAGCCCTAGGGCTGGTGGCATGGCTCAAGTGGTAGAGCACCTGTCTAGTAAGCATGAGGCCCTGAGTTCAAACTTCCCACACCGCAAAAAAAAAAAAAAGATACAGCCCCCAATGGATGTGGTCATTCACACTTGTAATCCCAGCTACTCAGGATGCCAGCCTGGACAAAGTTAGTTAAAAAACAAAAGGGCTGGCGGTGTGGCAGTAGATGGAGAAGGAGAAGAAAAGACAGCCCTGGACGCCCCCCCATCTGTAATTCAGACACCCTAGGATCTCAGAAAACTCAAGGTTTTTTTTTTTTTTTCATAAGTTCAGTGCAAAAATCATTTGGCAGCAAAGTCTAACCTGAACTAATGAGAGGCTATTTATAGCCTTTATTTATTCCACTTAGTTAAATATTCATCCATTTTGCTACAGAAATGTTAATGAGTTTGACGATAGGCTTCTTCTCTCCCAGCCGAGGCTGGGGGCTGGGGTGGTGGTGATCAGGAAATGCACTTGATCAAAGTCAGAGAAGTTCTGGATTCAAAAAGACATCTGATTCCAGAGACCAGTATGGTCTACGTAAATTAACTCACTGAGCCCTTGCCACGCCAAGGTGAGAACTGCTGCGATTCTGTTTTCCACTTGGGGAAACAGACACAGAGAGGTGAAGTGACTTGCCCAAGATCACACAGTCAGGAAGGAGGCAGACACAGGCTTCACCTCCAGGAGTCCAGGAGTCACTCAGTGCCCTGAATCTTAACTCTGATGTCCAACTCTTGTGTCCTAGAATAACACATGGATCAGAGACCATGAGGACAGTGGGTCTGTACATTTGGGGACTCCAGGTCCATCCAGCGGGGGTCTGGCCTCTCAGAGTGGAGACAACTCCAGTGACCAAGGTGAGAAACTTGGGAGTTGCAGAGAAAACATGGGAGTCAGTTTGAGGATTGAAGTTAGACTGCAAGTAGGACTTCCATAGAAACAGCTGAGGTGTGATTCAGTGTCTTGGGTGGGAGTTCAGGGACCCTCTGATGCCCCACTCTTCACTGTCCACCAATGGAACATGCCTGTGTCCACCCCCATCAGGAGATGGGCTGGACACAAGCGTGGCCTCCCCCAGTTCTGGGGGAGAGGACGAGGAGATGGACCAGGAGCGGAGGCGGAACAAGAAGAGAGGCATCTTCCCCAAGGTGGCCACCAACATCATGAGAGCCTGGCTGTTCCAGCACCTCTCGGTGAGGACCTGCTGCTGGTGTGGGAGGGTGTGGCAAGAGGGAGGAGCCTGTCCACAGCCCCTGAGGGCCGCCCAGAGATGGGAGATGGGTGGTGGGATATGGAGGGAGACACTCACGGAGATGGGGAATGACGAGCACACCTCGGCCTTACCTGTGTGTGTCAGGTGTCCACCCATCCGTCCACTCACCAGCCTGCCTCCTGCCGTCCATCCCAGTGTACCCCGTCAAGGAGGGTCCACGGTTATCTCCACTGTGTTGATGGGGAGACTGAGGCTAGAGAGGGGAATGCGCTCACAGTCACACAGCCAGACGTGGGTTCAAACGCAGGCAGTCCCGCCTTATCCACTATACCACACTTTTATGGAGAGGGGCAACAAAATAAAGACAGGGAGAGGCTGAAACAGGTAGCTAGCTAGATAGATGAGAGATAGATAGGTTGATAGATACGTAGATTATAGAGAAGACAGATAGGTGATAGATAGGAAGATAGATAGATAGATGGAGAAGGGAGGAAGGGGAGGAAGGAAAGGAGTGAGAAACACATAGGGGGAGGCACATAGGCAGGGGTTCCTGACAGCGGGCCTCAGCTGGGCAAGCAGGTTGCCTGCCTTCCTGCCTGGTCCTCCCTAATGAGAGCGGCCAATTAGCCTCTAATTGCTGGGAGAGGCGGGGCGCCCCGGGAGTAATTGTCCGAAGCTTGGCTCAGGCTAAGTGGAGACTCCGGGGCTCTCCTGGGCCCTGCGCCAGCCTAGCCACACCATGCCTAGATGGGATGCACCAGGCCAGGTTTTTGGGGATCAGGTGCGGCTGGGCAGGCAGAGTGACTCTTTCCGGTGGTCGCAGCACCCGTACCCGTCGGAAGAGCAGAAGAAACAGCTGGCACAGGACACGGGGCTCACCATCCTGCAAGTCAACAACTGGTGAGGGGCCGGGAGGGAGGGCGGAGGCCGGGCGCTGTCCGTGGTGCTGAAGGCCGCGGCGCGGAGTCTCTCCCCGTCTCTTGCTCCCGCTGCCTCTGGCCACTGACCCCCCTCTCCACACCCCCTGCGGTGACCATGACCGCTTGCCAGGTTCATTAACGCGCGGAGACGCATCGTTCAACCCATGATCGATCAATCCAACCGCACAGGTACAGGGAGGGCGGGAGGTTCTTAGCATGATGTCAGAGGCGGGACGGGGCCTCCTGGGGCTCAGCATTCACCCCGAACCTCCTCCGCAGGGCAGGGTGCAGCCTTCAGCCCCGAGGGTCAGCCCATGGCCGGCTACACCGAGACCCAGCCGCTTGTGACTGTCCGGCCACCGGGTAAGGCCCCGCCCCTCCGCCAAGCCACGCCCACTCTCCTGGTCCTGCCTCTGAACAAAGATGCAAACATTCTTGAGACTCAGTTCATGAATAATACAACAGGTCATTTGCATACGGGGGCAAATGCAGATGTGCTGGTGCCCACCCTTTCCTTACAAAGCTCACTTCTTCCAGGCTCAGCCCACCTGAGTCCACTTTTTCTCAGAGGGCTAGCACCCTCTTAAAATGTGACAGGGACCCCAGGCGAAGGAAGGGGTGGGAGGGAATTAGGGACGTCTGTGGGTGGGAAGGCCACTAACACCGCTTTTGCCCCCAGGGTCGGTGGGGATGAGTGTGAACTTGGAAGGAGAGTGGCATTACCTGTAGAGGCTGGACTCAGAAGAGTGAGTGTCTAGAGTCCTCCAGACCCAATAGCGGCTCACCCAACCAACGTCCAGCATGGTCCCTGCAGGGGGCACCTCCAAGGCTTGGTGGGAGATGATTCACCCATCTAACCCCCTCTCCCATCCATGCGTCTGCCCATCCACCCACCTACTCACCCATCCATGTTTCATCCACTTACTCACCCACCTGTCCATCCATCTGTCCATCCATCCATCCATCAACCTACCTGTCCATCCATCCATCCACCTGGCCATCCATCTATCCATCCACCCACCCATCTACCCATTTGGTCTGCTTCCCCTGAGACACTTTGTGACCAGTGCTGTCTTGGAGGGTGCTGGGGACACACCAGTGACCATGATCACTACCACCCAACCCTGCCTCATAGATCTCACATCCATGGGTGACAGACCCACCCCAGCCACTGATGCCCTAGGATGGGCAATACTGGGGTGTAGATGCCCAGGAGCTGGAGGAACCCAGAGGTACCACCAGACTCAGGCTGGGAGGTGGGCATTCAGGGAAGGCTTCCTGGAGGAAACAACTTTGTAGCTGAGAGCAAGAAAATGAGAGGAGGGTCTAGCAGAGGGCACAGAACATGCAAAGACTCAGAGCACTTAGAAACCTCATGGCCACGAGATGGCCCACCACACTCATGCACACGGATGAGGGAGGACTTGGGATGGGTGGACACAGGTGGGCCAAGCAGGCGGGATGACTTCAGGAAAAGCCCAGCAGGGGGCTGGGCATGGCTAAGGCATCAGGGGCACCGTGTGCACCCAGACCTGTTAGGTGCATGGGACAGGAGTGGCCTGTTCTGAGTGTCCGGTAACCCCTAGGTCTGTAGTGATGGGGGCATCTCATCCTGCTCGCCCCACCCCCCACCCCGCTGCCTTGGGGCTCTTTCCCTCAGTTTTCAATCCCCTTTTCTTTCCCCCCCACCCCCTTTCTCCTGTGTCTCTCTCTCCGGCTGTTTGTCTCTCTGTATTGATGACTCATCCTCTCTTCCCACAGCTGCATCTGACTCTCCATCTCTCTTCCTCTGTCCTGCTGTCTCTCTCCTCTCTCTTACTTTGGGTCTGGTAGGGGCTGCACAAAGAGGCTGATGTAGGGCCAGACCTCACCCATCTCCTGACTTGGCCTTTCCTGTCCTTGTCACAGGCCCCAGCCTCTGGACTGTGACCACCAGACTCGCGTATCATCCGTCCCCACTGGGCCCTCTGGGTCTAGCGCTCCAAAGGCCTCTTCACTCAACGCCTACCTCCCTGGGGCCCCACTGGGACATGGGGGACCTGAGCGTCCACTTGAGGGACAGTCAAGGACAAAGACAAGGTCTCCAGGCCCTGCACCCCTCTTCTGCCTTCATTTTGCCGGGGACCTGAGCTGAAAACTGGACCTGGGTGTGCAGAAGATGGTGGCTGGGGGCCCCACCTCCAGAACAGAGAAGGGATTGGGGGTGCACTGGGGCTGCTGGGAAAGGAGGGTCACTCAGACTTGACATTTGGGGAGATTCCTTTATCTTCCCACCCCACCCCACTCCATCTCTCCCACCTCCCTTCTCTGATGTCTTTTTTTTTTTTTTTTATTGATAGTCTTAAAAACCCAAAGCCACCAATTGGAGTTCCGGTGTCTGTGTATCAGTTAGCTATTGCAGTGTAACAAGCAGCCCTGAAATGTGGTTGCTCAAAATGTTAACTTGTTAACAAGCTCATTGTGTGCTGTAAATTGGCATTTAAACTAGACAGGGCTGGGCAGGTGTGGTGGCTTTAGCAGACTCTCGTGTATCTGCTGTCAGTTATAGGTGGTAGGGACTCTCCTTCTGGGGTGTGTCTGGCTGGCTGCAGGGAATGAAGGACCAAATGACTTTGATCAGACATAAGACTGTCCAGTTGGCTCTCAAAGAGGCAGAGTTAGGCTCTGGGATGCTCCACCGAGACTTAGCATATCCTTAATAATTGTGCTCTCAGCCACTGTAAGTCTGAAGGCAAGCCAGCCAAGATCAGGGAAGAGAAACAGACTCCAACTCTTGTTTATTTGGTGGTACTGGAATTTGAACTCAGAGCCTTAGTCACTCTACCACTTCAGCCACTCCCCTCAGTCCTTTTGGTTTTCAGATGCGTCTTTGGGGGTCAGCTTCAGACCATGATCCTCCTACCTCTGCCTCTCAAGTAGCTGGGATTACATGTGGGACCAACATGCCTGGCTTGTTTTCTGAGATAAGGTCTTGCTAGCTTTTGCCTAGAATGTCCTCAAACCACGATCCTCCTGTCTTTGCCTCCCAAGTAGCTAATCTTCAACTCTTGTGGAGAGTGCAGTGGGTTATTCACAGCACTAGAGATGTGGCTACAGGGAGGACTAAAGAATTGTGGCAGTTTTTTGCCCACCCCCCACACACCGGGGCCCACACATTCCTTTGTCCCTTGGATGACAAGCAGGCTGGCCATGAACAGCCTCTACTTTCGAGGTGGTTGAGAGTGGTTCAAATGGGTGGATGGAAATGGGTTCAAATCCCACCCCTGCAACACAATTGCTGTGGTGTCTGGGTCAAGTAGCTTCACCTCTGTGAGCCTCAGTTTTCCCAGCTGGAAGATGGGCACAGTGGCAATGTCTACCTCATAGGATTGCTGTGTCAACAGAAACACTGTAAAGGAAGTGTGAGGATATGGTTGGTGTCTGGTATGTGTGGTAAGAGCTCCACCAAAGGCAGAAGCTGGGCTGGAGCTGTAGCTCATTGGTGGAGTTCCTGCCAAGTCTGCATGAGGCCTGTGTTGCCCTCCCAGGGAAGAGAGGTTATGCTTTTTAACTAGAGGCTCAGAACCTGCTGGGGGCCTCAACTTACCAGACTTCTGTCTCCTGAGCAAGACATGGTGAAGACCCAGGGTAGGGTACGTTCCTCTTTGGTTCCACTTCTCTCCGTCCATCTCTCTCTACATCTTCTTTCCCAGGCTCTGGGCTCAGATGAGCTGTCTCGGGGTCCCACCAACTGTCTTTGTGTCCCTCCGATCTCCAGGCAGTCCGTCCCCCACCTCCTCGGACCTGTCCTAAGTCCACTCACAGTCCTGCTCATGCTCACAGTCACATACACAAGCACATGCTGTTTACTCTTACACACTCAGTCACACTGACACACGCTCATGGCCAGGATGGGTGCCTGTCAAGGATGACACACAAACATGTGACCTCACTGGTGACACAGGCAAAGTTCCCAAATGCAGTCACCCAGAGCCACACCTGACAACATCCCTGTGGCTTGCAGAGCTGCAGCCCACCTGTAACCTGCTCTGCCACTCACCAGGTGTGACACTCACCTGCCCTGGCTGGAAGCTCCACCCACAGAGTCCTCCTGGTGCAAACAGGGACACTGGGGCCCGGTGCCTTGCCTCACCATCCCAGGAGAAGCAACCTCTAAAATCAGCAGCCTGGTTGCCTCTGTTTTGTGTGGCCCCTGCATGGGACCAGGGCCAGCTCCAGGAGGTGCCCGAAGCCCTGGTGTCAGGGATATGACCCACAGCTCAGACTGCAGTGCCGGCAAGTCTGCGGCTTGCTGAGTCACACAAAGCCCCAGGCAGGGTCTAAGTTGCAGGGATCTGCCTGAGGGGGGTGACCTGCCCTATCCCCATCGGGGGAGCCTGCTATCCAGTGCTGCTCAACTCCCTTACATAAAAGGGCACAGGATCCGCACAGCCTCCTGCGCGCATGCGCGTGCTTATCATGTTTCTGCAGTACTGGGATTTGAACTCAGGGCCTCACACTTGCAAAGCAGGTGCTCTACCACTTAAGCCATGCCACCAGCTCTTTTTGCTCTCGTTCTTTTGAAGATGGGGTCTCACTTTTTGCTGGGGTGGCCTGGTGCACAATCCTTCTATTTATGCCTCCTGCATGCCCGGGATGACAGGCGCACACCACTGTGACCAGCTTTTATTGGTTGAGATGAGGGTCATGCAAAGTTTTTGCCCAGGCTAGCCTCAAACCGTAATTCTCCTGATCAGCCTCCAGAGTAGCTGGGATTACAGGCATGAGCCACTGCGCCTGGCTCTCCTGTATAACTTAAATCCCTCTAGATGGCTTACAACACCGAGTGCAATTGAAATGCCAAGTTGATGGTTACCAAATGGCACTGTTTAGGGAATACTGACAAGCAGAAAGCCTCCATGTTCAGTACAGATGCAATTACTATTTTTCAAGTGTTTCTATCCGCAGTTGGTGGACTGAGTGCATGCAGAAACCACAGCACATCACTCAGTCTCTGTGGACAGTAACAAACATCTTAAACAGTTACGCACGGTGGCTCACGCCCGTCATCCCAACTCTGCAGGAGGCAGAGGTAGGATGATTTCAGTCTGAGGCCAGCCCCAGGCAAAAACACAAGACGCTACCTGAAAAAATAACTAAAGCAAAAAGGACTGGGGGCGTGGCCCAAGTGGTATAGCATCTGTCTAGCAAGCGCAAGGCCCTGAGTTCAAACCCCAGTACCACAAATAAAAAAAGTGTAACAGGCCAGAGGAGAGTGTGGGCCTCCACCTTCATGACTTCATGATCTTCATGACTTCATGATCGGTGCTTCGGTCAGTCAGCGTGCACACGCACATGCTCCTGGGTTTACATGCTTCCATCCAAACCCTGGGGGTGCGCTGCCACTGCTCTGCTCGTTTCTCAGGCAGGGGAATTGAGGTTCACAGAAGTGAACCCACAGATGGGGAGCATGGAGCCCATTTGAGCCCAGGCGGCCTGGCTCTGGGACTTATGTGCTAACCACCGGGAAAAGTTATAAAAATAGATGTTTCAGTGGGCATGGTGGTAGAGGAAGGAGGATTGTGGGTTCAAGGCCAGCCTGGGCTACATAGTCAGACCCTGTCTCAAAAAAATAAAAGAAACCCTCTAAAAAGATAACATGAACTATTTTGTGGGTGTCATACTGTTTCATGATTACTATTTATTTCTTGCTAAACTCCCTAATGCCACAATGATCGGATAGATGAGGGACAGACAGCCAGAAAGACTTTCAACACTTTTTTTTTTTTGGCCGCACTGGAGTTTGAACTCAGGCCCTCCCACTTGCTAGGCAGGCACTGTATCACTTGAGCCGTGCACAACCCTTTTCGCTTCAGTTATTTCTCAAATGGGGTCTTGAACCTTTTGTCCGGGCTGGCCTAGATCACGGTCCTCCACCTTATGCTTCCCATACAGTTGTGATTACAGACTGTGCCACCATGCCCCTTCGTGCTTTATTTTTCAGATAGGTTCTTGTAGTTTTCCCCAGGGCCTCCTATTTACACTTTCCCCATGTAGCTGGGATCACAGGCATGCACCACCCCGCCCTACCTTTTATTGGTTGAGACAGGGTCTCTAGAACTTTTGGCCGGGACTGACTTTGAACCTCTATCCTCCTGATCTCTACCCCTTCAGTTACCCTCATCCTTCTTGAAGGCTGTGGGGGTGAGGGGGAGAGGGCCAGGTGGCAGTGGTGCATCCACGTGGCCCCAGCCTGGCACAGCACTGGCAGAGGGCCCCTAGCTGGACAGGTCCTCCTCGAATCTTCTCTGGTCATTGGGAATGCCTCCCACCTGACCCTCCTTAATTAAGCCAACTGGATGAGCCATGGCGGGGGATTAAGCAGAGATTAATTGCAACTAAAAATACCCCAAAGGGTGGCATTCCTCACTGGGAGGGGCCCCGAGTCCCCGGCTGGGATCTGGAGGGGGCAGAAAGTCAGGCTTGGGTCTCAGTGGTCAGTGTCTGGGGATTTAGAACGTACCGTGGAGGTGCATTGTGGGAAGGGACATGTGCAGCTGGAGAGTGTGTGTGTGTGTGACACATGGTTACCAGTCACACCGTGCCTGGGTCTCTGAGTGATTCATGTCTGTGAATAGGAGACTCTGGGTGTAACTATGTGTCACTTAGGATTGTCCTTGGGGGCCACTTTCTGAGCATCTGTGGCAGCATGTATGTGTGACACTGTGTGCTATGTGTCCCTGTCTGTGGGGCTGAGGTGCAGGGCTCAGGATGAGGTCACTAGGGCCATCTCATATGCCTTACAGGTATGTCAGGGGCCTAACTGGCCCCTATGGCCCAGCATGGACCTGTGGCATTCCTGCCATCTCCATGATCTGCTTTCTCTGAAGCCACAATTTACAGTGACAATTGCTTCCCCCAAAGAGAAAAAGCTGACCCCCAGGGATTCAGTGAGTCCCAGGTGACACTTCCTGGCCGGAAGCAATATGGTCAGTTATGGACCAGAGGCAAAACAGCCATAGGAGTCTGACTTGGACAGAATAATCGCGGTGGCTGGTTAATCACGGTGTTTCTAGAAGTCAAACAGATGGGCAGCCTGACTTGCTCTGCTCAGCCATGTTCTCACGACAGGCCACATGTATGACAGTGGTCCCAGATTATGTCACCTAGAGATGCTGTGGCCATGTCACTTTGTATAAAGATGCTCTGCAATGTTCCCACAGTGACAAAATCACCTACTGACACATTTCTCGGAATGTCCCTACTGTTAAGTGACACAAGACTTATGTGACATGTCAGCAGGAGAGAATACAAAGTCCAACTTGAATCCTAAAAACAGAAAACCATGGCCCCTCAGTTCCAGACCCTTGAAGGGTCCCCACTGGAAAACTGAATTGTGTGGGTTTTTTATTTTGTTTTGGCAGTACTGGGATACTGAACTCAGGGCCCTGAACTTGCTAGGAAGGCGCTCTACCACCTGAGCCACTCCCCAGCCCCTTTTGCTTTAGTTATTTTTCAGATAGGGTCTCCCATTTTTGCCTAAAGCTACTCTCTGCCCACCATACTCCTACCTATGCCTTCCACATAGCTGGGATTACATGTGTGCACCACTAAGCCATGCCCTGATATGACGTTTCTTTTGCTTGAAATTACCCAATTTGTGGTCCTTTGTAGCAGACACAGGAAATGGAGACAGGAGGGGAAGGGAGAAGTCAGAGGAGAGGAGAGAGACAGAGCCACCAGGGCAGGGACCGAGGGAGGAGACAGTGGCTAGAGGAAATAAGGATGTTCACAGGGACACTTAGAGATGGGGTGCACCGCACTGGTGCATGTTACCTTCTAAGGATTACCAGATACCAACCTGAGCAGCCTGCAGCAGCAGCAGGGAGGTGGAAGGAAACAGCTTCCTTCCCCCAGAAGAGTTCTTTGCAGTGGATATTGAGGTTGGGCCCAGGAAAGGAGGGAGTCAGACATAGAATATTGCCAGGATGAGGTAACAGAGAGAAGGACCAAGAGTGACTGCTGGACGTCACCACTGCCCTTAAAAAGCAGCCAACTGAATGGCGGGGGCAGCAGGCAAGGCCTGGTAGGGCAAAGGTGAAGAGAGGAAGGGGACGTCGTGTCCCCTGTGTGTTCTGGGATAAAGGGGCAAGGATGTCATTTCTATCTAGAGATAACCCAGGGTGCAAGAGTGCTGATCGAAGACTGAATTATCATTCAGGGCTGGGAGGGCCACCTGCAAATAGTGAGATTAAAAAACAAAGGGGGGTGGGGGGGCGGATGAAGCAGGTGAGAGAGAAGTCTTGACATAAGACCAGACTAGTGACTTAGGAAGGAGTCCCATTTCTTCCTGAAGTAACCAAGATCTCACCTACTCTTCCTGTTACACCAGCAGTCATCATAGCTGATGTCTGCTGAGATCCCTAATTCGAAAATCCAAAAACCAAAAGGTCACAAGTACAGAATTCCACACCTGACCTCATGGGACATGGGGAAGGGAACACACAGGCACATTCAACAGATTCTATAAAATTACCTTCAGAGACGCTGGAGGCTCACCCCTGCAATCCTGTGTACCTGGGAGGCTGAGATCTCAAGTTTGAGGCAAGTCAGGCAAATAGCTCGAGACCCATCTCCAAAATAACCAGAAGAAAATGGACTGGAGGCGTGGCTCAAATGGTAGAGCACCTGCTTTGCAAGTGCAAAGTCCTGAGTTCATACCCCAGTACCACCAAAGGAAAAAAAAAAAAAACAATTAATTTCAGGACTGGGGATATAGTCAGTGGTAGAGCATTTGTCTAGCACAGTGTTAAGTAAAACAATTACCTTCAGACTACGTGCATAAAACAAATGAATTTTATGCTTAGACTTAGGTCCATTTCGTATTCCCCACCATCACCACCAGACAAACAAAAGACTGACCTGAGCCTGGTGGCTCATAACTGTAATCCCAGCTACTTAGTAGGGGGAGACAGGAGGATTGTAGTTCTAGACCATTTGGCAAAAAGTTAATGAAACCCTCGCTCAAACGCAAGACAGGTATGGTGGCCTCTACCTGAAATCCCAGCTACACAAGAGGCAGAGAGAGGAGGATCAAGGTCCAAGGTTGGCCCTTGGCTAAGTTAGCATGAGACCCTATCTAAACAGCAAACTAAAAAGCAAAGGGGCTAGAGGTGTGAATCAAAGGTAGAGCAAGGCCCTGGCTTCATCTCCAGAACCACAGAGGGGAGAAAATGAAAAATCTGAAAGACTTCTGGATCCAAGCATTTGGGACAAGGGAAACTCAACCCCTATGTGCACTGAACTCTCATGAAAACTTTTATTTATATTCACATCTCAGGAGAAGAAATGTATTATGAAACTAGGAAAATTGTTTTTTCCACCTCCTTCCTCCCTTGGGGCTCTATAATTCCTGACCTCACAGGTAAGACAAGCTGTGGCCCTTGGGATTGCACTAAAGATAGGCAAGATCTGTACATAAAAAATTGAAATACCCAGCACCGCAGCTCATGACATACCAGGGCAGTGGAGATCAGGAAGACTGTGGTTTGAGGCAAGCCTTAGCAAAAAGTTGGTTGAGACCCCATTTCAACCAATAAAAGCTGGCATGGATTGGGTGCTTGTAGCTCACACCTGTAATCCTAGCTACTCAGGAGGCAGAGATCAGGAGAATCTTGATTCAAAGCCAGCCCAGGCAAATAGTTTCCCGAAATCTTGGAAAAAAAAAAAAAATCACAAAAAAGGACTGGTGGAATGGCTCAAGTTGTAGGCCCAGTACCACGAAAATAAAAAAATTAAAAGAGAAAAGTTGGGCATAGTGGTATGTGCTCCCGTCTTCCCAGCTGCTCAGAGAAGTACAAATAGGAGGATAGCAGTCCAGGCCAGCCTAGGCATAATGTGAGACCTCATCTCAAAAACAACCACATCAAAAAAGGCTGGAAGCATGGCTCAAGTGGTAAAGCACCTGCCTACCAAGTGTGAGGTCCTGAGTTCAAATCCCAGTACTGTAAACACAAAGGGGGGGGTATACTATATTCATGGGTTGGAAAACTTAACTATTGTTGAAATGTCAATTTTCCCTAAATATCTTCAAGTTCAAGACAATCCCAATTTAAACCCTCCAGGCCTCTAGAATATATGCGAAAAGAAAGAAAAAAATCAACTAATGAGAAATAAACAAATTAAATGTATGTGAAGGTGAGACTAGAAGTTAGGAAATAGGAACTGGTCAGGCAGAGTAGGGAAAGGGAGAACTCAGTAGTCTACCAGACTCAGAGGTGAGGCATGGACACACAGAATACAGGGAGCTTTTAGAAACTCAATAAGGGATGCATGGATCAACAGGATGTGACTTGAGACTGCTGCCAAGCCCTGACATTGCTGTGGTGCATGACCTGTGCCCTGACAGGGTGCTGATTGGTGCACCGGACCTCAGGGCTAATTAGAAGAAAGGGGGATGTGCACACTGTCCCTGTGATGTCCATGGGCTGGCAAAGACATGCATCCCATGAATGATCCAGAAATACAGAGACACTGCCAGCATTACTTCAAACAGGAAAAGAAAATCTTTATAAAATCCCTAGACAAAGGATCTTGACTGGCTAAGTCTTTCTGGGACTTAGCAGAAGTCCCCATGCAGGAGTTTTTTTTTTTGCAGTACTGGGGTTTGAACTCAGGGCCTACACCTTAAGCCACCCCACCAGCCCTTTTTTGTGGTGGATTTTTGACGGGCAAATGGGGTGAATTTTTGATGGGATCCCAAAAGATCCCATCTCCAAAACAAACAAAGCAAAATGGACTGGAGGTGGGCTCAACTGCTTTGCAAGCTTGAAGTCCTGAGTTCAAACTCTAATCCTACTAAAATAAATAAATACATCAAAAAGGTAGAGGCAGATAAGTGTCCCAAACTCAAGTGTCTACTGAGCTGGAAGGCGGTAGAATGAGTTCAGACGGAAAGACAAAAGCCGTGGGAATCTGGGGGAACAGATGCTTCTAGAGCAACGGAAGTCATGGTGGAGGGGATGTGCGCTCTGCGTTTTCATATGCAATCGCCTATGTTTGATGATCATCAATAATTCAAACTTTTTTTTTGGTGGGACTGGGGTTTGAACTCAGGGCTTTACACTCGCAAAGCAGGTGCTCTATGCTTGAGCTACCCCTCCAGTCCATTTTGTGCTGGATGTTTTTTGGAGATGGGGTCTCCAGAACTATTTGCCTGGGGTGGGAGGTGCTGGCAGGAGGTGGGAGGGGGAAAAGAGTGGATGACAGAAGATGAGATAGAGATGAATGTGATCAGAGTACATTGTATTCGTGCATGGAAATTTCACAGTGACACTCCCTTGTGCAACTAATTTATGCTAATAAAAATTTTAAAAGAAAAGCATCCCAGTCAGGAGGGGTCGCCATCTGTCCTGGAAGAGCTCCTGGTGGTTGAGGCCCCAAAGAAGACATTGATGCCTGTTCTGACCTTAGTGATGAACTGAAGTTTCTTCCTAGGGCTCTTCAGTTGACCTCTTCCTGAGTGAGCGTTCATTTGTGCCTTTGAAAAAATGTTCCATTCCACTGAGCCGAGTTCATCAGCATCACATGATCAGCAGACTTCCCTGCTCCTCTGGTGTCTGTCGGGTCTGTAGTGAGGCTTTCATCCCTAAGCCTGGTTTTTGTTTGTTTTCTCCTGATTTGATTTTTTTCAAAGCATCAGACTGAATTTCCATCTTCCACGTCTGCAACTTTGACTCCCTGCACTTGCCTCAACATAAAAGCTACTCAAAAAGTAACAGACACAGGCCTGTGGGCCCCGCTACTCGGGGGGGCTGAGTGGAAGGATCGTGTGAGCCCACATACTCCAGGCCATCCTGCACAACGTACAGAGACCCCACCTCAAAAATAAAACCAACAGCAGCCACATGGAGAGTAGACCATGATGTGAGTCTGAGGCAGGCTAAGACAGGAAAACTCCAGGGCTCCTGAAACACGTGCCTTAAGGTCACATTTCAGGTGGAACATTCTTTTCTTTCTCTGAGCCTTCTTTTCAATTGCAAATATGTGCCTGGCAAATGGCTCAGGGGGTAGCACCTGCTTAGCAAGCGTGAGGCCTTGATTTCAAACACCAGTGCCACCAAAATTTAAAAAAAAGTCTCAATCCCAAAGAATGTGCAGATTATTCACACCCTGGCCCAGGGACACCTATGCCCCTCCCCACTCACCAATTACTGGTGGTCAGAGGTCACCAGGTTCTTCCCTTCCCATAGGTTAACGTAGGCTTTAAAAGCACCTGCAAACAGGAAGACTCCCGCTCTCTCTGCCTCCGCCTAGTACCTGGCCCACCATGGCTGTTTGTAACTTTTTCAATAATCTCTAACGAAGTCCATTACCTCCCTTACAACACCCACGTGTCCTGCCTGGATGCTTCCACATGGGACACTAAGAATTTGGAAATCTGGTCAGAGACTGCATACATCAGGTCCTCATACTAACCTAAGGAGGTAGGAACCATGGTGCCATTTTACAGAGGAGGAAACTGAGGTACAGTGAGGTGATACTGGCCTAAGACACAAGATAGGATGCAGCAGTTCTGAGGTTCAAGCCCAGGTCATGTTCATGCCCCTTCTGAATAGCCCTCTGACTTGTACCTACCCCATATCCAGCCACCCAGTTACTGACACATCCCACCCAAAGAAACCTGAGTGCTGCTGGATACGTAAGCAGAGACAAAATCAAATGAAAGGAGGCAGCCAAGTGACCAGAATATAACATGCAAAGGTCCTGGGGTAGGAACCCCTAGAGCACATGCAAGGGGCAGAAAGGAGCTGGTGAGCCTGGAGCCAAGGGAATAGGGAAAAGTGCGTGTTAGGTCTGTGAAGCAATCTAAGAGGAAGTCGCTTTGAACTGAGGGTGGACGGAACTGACAGGCTATGGTTTGTGTGAGGATCATCTAAGCTGGGTCTTTTCTGTCAAAGAGCCGGCTCAGTCTGTAGAGCGTTAAGACTTTTAATCTCAGGGTCCTGGGTTTGACCTTCTTCTCCCCCTGCCCCAGTATTACACTATGGAGTATGTCTATCATTGTGTTAATATTCACTAATTTCCCCAGCTGTCTATGAGCTCGGCAGCATGTCACCTGGCTGTAAAGCTTCTGCCTTTAAGCAGAGAACTGTTTCTCATCAGATGTCCTGAAACTCAAATTGCTAGTTTTAGAATAATCACTGTCCAGAGGAATCTCTGCTTCAAGGTCCTCTTGGCCCACAGGTTAATTATATACTTGGTGCTGCCATTCCAACTGAGTCAGGCCTCAGTTTCCCCAGAATCCCTGCCTTATGGATCACCTCTTTGTCTTTGAGCACACAAACCAAATTAAGTCTCGTGTCCATGCGCTCCAATCCTGTCTGCTCTCTTACCCATGCCGTCCCCTAAACCTCAACCTTTGTCAATCGCAAAGGGCTTCCTCCTTAGAGCAAGGGGAAGCAGTACTGCGTCCGGGATGAAAGTGGATGCAGTCCTTCTGCCCCATGTGTGCTGGCTGGCCTGACTTTGGTCAGAGGCACACCCTTTTGCAGTAGACTTCCCCTTGCCTATCAGCTTTAGCACGTGCATATGACTTGTGATTGCAGCAGTGCCCCAGTATTTCTAACACTTGTGTTTTGAAAGAACCACTGTGGCTTCTGTAGTGAAAGAAGGCCAGGGGAGGTGAGGACGGAAGCAGGGAGACCAGCGAGGAGGCAGCTGCCCTCATGTGTGGCATGGCTTTGTGAGGGTAGTAGAGGAGTCCACTCATAGGCTGGGTCTGTTTGAGGTTAAAGTTGAAGCAGGCGATAGGGACCCACCTCTCCCTGGGCCCTGGAGAGGTGTTAAGTGTTGTTAGAGCAAGGTTAAACACTGTGAAGTCACTGTTAATGTAATGAGCCATTTTTGTAAGCACTCCTTTTAACACTTGTTTTTCCTCTAAATGAGCAAAGATGTTGGGGACCGGGACAACTTGACTCCCTAACTGGCAGCAGCCCCGTTCTGGTGTCCTGGCTGCTCTAAGCAAAGGACCATCAGTCAGGCAGGCCACCGACTGCCCTCACGGCAGCACAGGCCACTCTGAACACTCTAGGGACGACTTGAGGAAGCCACCTGACCACAGATGCTGCTGAAGCACAGCTCTGGCTCCTGGAGGCACTGCCCCCACCAGGACAGATGCTTGGGCTGGGCTTTTACCATCACAAGACTGGGCGAGTTCTGGACCACCCTGCAGCCATTCCCACCCAGACCAGAGGGGGAGCACCTCCTCATGGGGGCCGGCCCAGAAGAAGACCCGGGATTGGTGCAGACACCCTTACCACACCCTCTTTCTGGCTCCCTAAGCAGTGTGTTTGGCTCACTTTGGGGGACACCCTCTTGAGCTGCCCCTAGTGTTGCAACATTACGCCCAACAAAGGCGTCTCTTCTCTCAGATGGTTCCTGTGAACATTAACACCCCCTTCGCTGCCCCGCCATCTGTGTGGAAACACCTGGGTCTCCCAGAGCAAGGGGAAGATAACTGTGTGAGGACAGACAGAACTGACAGGTGTCAGGACACCACACCTGGACTTGAGATGCCTGCAGCCCCTGCTTGACTCCAGCTCCAGACCTGCCAGGCCCTTCAGAAACAGTGCCAGCAGAGGGCAGGACCCACCCTGCAGAGGACATGGGCTGCTCTGCCAGTGTAAGGCCAGCTCAGAAGGTGGAGTCAGCGTGAGACTTTATTCACATAGATATCCCATACACACACATGCACACGTGCACAGGGGGAGAGCCCCCCGTGCTGCACTGGCTCACATATGCTGCCTGCGGTGCCGCAGTACCTCAGTGGGCGTGAACAGGAAGTCCTTGTGGCAGGTCTCACAGTGGTAGGGTCTCTGCAGGGCAGACGCCTTCTGGAGGGGCGCAGGGGCTTCTTCAGCCCCTAAGGGGATAAGAGAAGATGTGAGAGGCAAGTCCACTGTGAGTTGAACCCCTACCCAACCCTGGCCTGGACTCAGACTCTCACTCCTTTTGCCACAAGAGTCACATGCCCTGGGTGACAACAGGGTAGATGTGGCCAAGGCAGAAATAGCTGGGGGACAGAGAAAAGAACAAGTAACACACTCAGAGAGAGACACAGAAGCAGAAAGAGGGACACAGAGAGTAAAGAAAAAGTGACAGACACAGAGACCAAAGACAGACAAAGAGGTGGCACCCCAGGGCCCCGTGCCCCAGGTCCAGGTCTTCATGGCAAGGCCATGTGTGGCACCAGCCAGGACCAGATGGCCGAGGCCACCAGTCTCCAGTGCCTGGCAAATGTGCAGACACACAGGAAGCAAGATGGGTGGACTATGGCTGCCTGGTCCTTGCCTGTGGCATTGTCCCTTGGGACCTCTGAGCAGGTGTTCTCATGGGCAATGCGCTCCAAAGGTGTGAGTGGCAGGTGCAGACCGCAGTACGGGCAGGTCCAGAAGGTGCGCAGACAGTCACTGTACAGGTCCGTGTCACTCTGCACAGGGGCAGGCAGCAGTCAACCAGGGTGAGGTGCTCACACCCTCACCACCTTGGACCCTTCCAGAGCCCTTTGGGATAAGAATGCAACTGACAGGGTGGGGGTGGGCACTCTGAAAATCCCATCTCCCAGCAGGAGGCTGAGGGAACCAAGGTACGGTTGATACTCACCGTGAGGCAGTTGTAAGTGAGGAAGTCAGTGACAATGTAGCCCCCCTTGGTGGGGTGGGGGGATAAGGTGAAGTTTCCAAAGAGGCCAGGAACACTAGGGGCAGCTGTGATGGTCTGAGGTCCCAAATAGAGGTTCTGGGCTTCCAGACTTGTGAGTCGTCGAAGGCTATAGGGGACCTAAGGAAGGACAGGCCATGGGGGAGACTCCACAGCACCTGGATCCAGCTGTGCCTGAAGCCCACACTGACTTTCCAGTTATGTAACCCAACTGCTTAAACCATTCATGATTCACTTATAAACACAGCCAGAGGCTTGTCTAAAACAGGGCCCAATGCCCTCTCCCCTCAACTGCCTTCTCTAGTCTACTTCCTGTTGCTGGTAGGACCACAGTCAGACCCCAACTGTAGCATTACCTCTGGCTACCTCACCCCTCCCCTGAAGCACATGGAACCCCTTTCCCTGGCTCAGCCTCTACCCCATCTCCAGGAAGTCAGCCTGGATTGCACCCCTCTGCCCCACCCACCCACGAGGGAGAATCAGGAGCAATTCTCGGCTCCCTTCCTGTGCTGGGGTGCGGTTTCATCTGCTCTGTCCAGTTCTTTCTCCCCGTCCATGATCAGATGCTATGACCCTCCTCTTGACCTTGCTGAGCCGTGCAGGTGGCGCAGGACAGCAGCTAGTAATACTGCCTCTGGAGCCAGGTTCCTGGGATCAAACCCTGCCTCTCCCCTCTTACCAGTTGGGCAAGTCACTAACCTGTCTGGCTTGAAGACCCTCACATGTGCACATTAGTGACCTGGAGGCCCTGTGGTGGTGGCTCTAACTACAAGGTGTGTGTTGGGGGGTGGGTACCTTGGTTGCCATGAACTGCAGCAGCTCCTTGCTCAGGGCTGCCACCTCTTGGTGGCTGACAGATAGGGTCTTCTCCTCCTCCTCCTCCTCCTCCTCCTCCTCCTCCTGCCTCTGCCTCTGCCTCCAGGCTTGGTGGGACAGCTGCTGGTCCAGGGCATCTTCCCAGTGGGTACGGAGCCTTAGGGAGGCCGCCAGGAGCTGGACAGCACTCTCACTGTCGGTCAGCTTCAGCTCCAGCCAGCTGTCAGCAACCAGGCGGGAACAGTCACCATTGGTGTCCAGGGACCGGCTGAACAACAGCAGAGACTGGAAGAGATGGGGGAGGAGCCAGGAAGCACATGAGGGTCAGGATGTCTGTGCACATGGCCAGGCTCCTGCAGACCATCCACCCACCATTTGCCACCCATCCATCCCTCCACATGTCCATCCAGTGTACAAACCTGTCCATTCTTCCATATGCCTATCCCTCCACCTATCCATCTACCCATCTTTCCACCTGTCTCCATCCACCCACCTGTCTATCCCTTGACCTGTCCATCTACCTACCCTATCAATCTGTCTATTCAATATATTCATCCACCTACCTGTCCTGCCAACTACCTGTCTATCCACTTTCCCTCCCTGTCTGTATACACCTACTACCTATCTACCCACACACCTGTCACCCATGTACCCCCATTCAATGTCTCCCACTCTCCCGCTCCCCCATCCATCCTTCTACCTGTCCAGCCAATGGTACCATCTGTCACCCACCCAACACACATGTCCTTTGTGCCTCTCCTGCTAGGCTTTCTGGGTGCTGGAGACACAACCCTGAGCAGGGCCAAGGCCTGTGCCTTAGAGCAGTCATCTGACTCAGAGTCAGAAAGACAAGCCTGAAGGGTAAAGCCCAGAGTGCCCTAGAAGCAGTCAAGCCAGGGGCAGGGGTAGGGGGTAGAGGGGAGAGGGGGTACATTTTAAAATGGGACAGAGAGATGCCACTCACAGCCATCAGTAACACCGAGGGAAAGACCCCCGAACACTGAGGGCAGCTTGCCTAGTTAAAGCAGGGTCTTAGGACTGGTCACAGGTTGATGGTTTGGGGCTGGATGAAGGTACACGAGGGCCCAACACTCTTCTGCTTACTTTTGTGCACATTTAAATCCCCCACCACAGACAAACAGTAAAGGGGAGAAGAGACAAAAATGCCAGGCAACACAGCAGCTAGCTAACATTTCCTTCCCACCATCTTGCGCACTGCCCCCTTCCTGGCTGGCTCTCTCCTTTGCGGTGCCTGTGGGACCATCAGGCAGCCCCTCTTTGTTTCTCTGTGTGTTGTGTACTGTCTGCCTCCTGGTTTCACACTAGCCAGTGTGCACAGGAGCTCACTGACTGACCACAGCCTCGAGCACCGTGGCAGAGGTGCCTGGCATGGACCACCTAAGACAGGACACTTGGCTCACAGTGTCAGCAGAGGCCAAGGGTCCACAAGCTCCCAAAGCGCTTGCATGGTCTGTCTTCCCAGTTCTCTGGTGCTGAAGCCGGGGGTCCTAACAGTGGGGACATCCAGTTGACAGGAGAGGCATCCGGGTGCAGCACAACCATGGAACTCTGGCTCTGCCACTCACTTGCTGAGAGACTCAGGCAAGTGAAAAGCCCTGCCGGCCCCAGGCCTGTCTCGTTCTTTCAGTGAGCACCACAGGGCTACCAAAGACTCACTGAGGCCAGGCCTGGCCACAAGGTGGCATGCAGTGAGCACACAAGGCATGGCAGCTACTTTCTGGCTACAGACATGTCTACAAGCCTAGGGGATGTCTGAGTGCATCATCAACCTCTGCCCGGGTCAACCACATCCTCTTCCACCTGGACAGCATCGGTCACCTCATGCCGGGCTCCCAGTGTCTGCGCGTTCAAGCCCTATCCCAGCTCTGCTCCAACCCTCCTGGGCTCCTGCCTCACTTCCTGTCTGACCTCCTCTCCAGCTGTTCCAAGCACACCAAGCCACATGTCTATCTCAGGGCCTCTGCACGTGTCACCACTTGGCCAAGAACACTGTTCCCTCAGAGATCCACACAGCTCTGTCCCTGCAGGACTCACTCCAGTGCACTTCCTCAGTGTGGCCAACCGGGTTATCTCTTAACACAGTGCCCCCACCTCCACTCACCTCCTACAGCACAGCTTGGTACTCATTGCCCTTGTCTTTCCTGCCCCATGAACTCTAGGAGGCTCACTGCTGTGTACTGCTGGCCTCTCAGGGCTGTGAACCATGCTGACATACAATTGGCTCTTGGTGAGCAACCGTGAAACAGACCCGTAAATGAGAAGGCAGCAGGCAATACCTGCTTCACCCTGGGTGAAGGTGGCTCCCCTAGGCCCGCCTGGGCCCCCGCCTGGGTACTGCAGTCCTCACCTGTGGTGTCAGGGTAGAGGCCTACCTGGAGGGCCGGGATGCGGACACAGTTCACCAGGTATGGCTTGTTGGTCTCCAGCAGGGAGACAAAAGTAAGGAGCTGGTGCTTGCTACTCATCTTGTCCTTGTCATCTGGAAGATTAAAGAGGCCAGCTCGGGCCCACCTCCCTCTCCTACCCACACCCACACCCAGCTGCCCCCAGGGCTTGCTTGTCCCACGTGGTCACTCCCCATGTCTGTATAAAGAACACATTCGGGGCTGGAGGTGTGGCTCAAATGGTAGAGCGCCTGTTTTGCAAATGTGAAGCCCTGAGTTCAAACCCCAGTACTGCCAAAAAAAAAAAAAAGTGTCAGTGGAGTGACTCAAGTGACAGAGTCCCTGCTTAGCAAGTGGAAAGCCCTGAGTCCAAACCTAAGTACTGCCAAAAAGCAAAAAAAAAAAAAAAAGCCTTTAAGCAGGATAGTGATTATTATTAAAAAAAAAAAAGGCAAAATAAAAAAATAAATAAATAAATAAATAAAAAGAACACATTCATGTGGTACACATCTTGTCACTTAGTTTTAAATGTTCTACCATCAAGAAGATGCATCTGACTATGGGTGATGTTAAGGGGTCAATGTCCGGGTGACAGCACATTGCAATAATGCAAAAACCAGTCCTTGTTGGTAGTGAATGACACAATGTCTGCCAGATGTTTTACAATGCTCCAGCAAAAAACAAAATTTTAAAAAGGACAAAAAAAAAAAAAAAAATGCTCCAGGGGCTGGGGACGGGACTAAGTGACAGAGTGCCAGCCTATCAACCTTGAGACCCGAGTTCAAACCCCAGTACCACCAAAAAAGAAAAAGAAAAGAAAAAAAAAAAGAAACTGAAAATACAAGCTTCAGCAGAAAGGACCTAAGACACAAGGGTGACAAAATGGTAACAGTTGTTGAGGCTAAGTGAGGGTGACAAGGGCTCACCTCATGCTACCTAATTGATGTTTGGAAGCTTTCAAAATTCAAAAAAAGGGGGGTAATGCAGCACAGTGGTTGGTAGTGGGATAAAGAATGCATGGATTGGGAAAAAAAAAAAGGGGGAACCAACCCTCTTCCTTCCCATCCCAGGGGGTCTGAGCACCCCATGAGGGAGAGTGACAGTGAAGTCAGCCTTTCAGCACTGCAGTCTGGCACAAGATGCAGGCTAGCTTCACACAGGACTGAATTTAAAAAAATAAAGGAAGACAGTAAGCTGACTAAGAATCTACAGTGGTTAAAGACTAGGAAGCCAAGTTGCAAGTTCTATCTTTGGTGTTTAAAACAGTAAGCCTCATCTTTCTGGGTAAATTTGTCACTCTAATACAGTCTATGGCTCTCTCTACACTCATGGAGAAAGGTGAGTTGCCTTTCTGAGCTGATTGAGAGTCTGTAATGTCACAGCAGTGAAGCTGCAGGGGAACACCCTGTGCTAGCACACTGCCCAGCTGTCCCCACCGCACAGCACTCCCTGGGGATGGCTACACTGGCTTTGGTCAACCAACTGCACAGCAGCTCAGCATGCTGGGAGCAGCCCAAGGCAACCCAGTGAGGTTTGGTCCAGAGCCCCCCTCCTACAGTCCCAGCAGTGCCAGCACAGGCAGTCTGGCTATCACCACCCCTCAAGCCCCGCCCAGCCCCAGCACCTCGGCTTCCTTCACAGCCTGCGGCCTCCTGCTCCTGTATGTGCAGCACCTCGGGGCTGCTGGCGAAGACACAGGTGGGGTGCAGCACAGTGCCCTGCTTGGCCTGGGTGTGGAAAATCTGCAGAGGCCAAGGGCAGGCGCTGAGGCAGGCCCTCAGACTGCTCCACCCTCTTGGCCAAGTCTCCTCCTCCAGGCCTTCCCCATGCAAGCTCCCCTATCAGGGCCCTTCCCTCTCTGGGGTATCTGTCTGGGGACAAGTCTGTCTCCCCCAAGGCACCATGAGAACTAAGTCACAGCTGATTCAGTCATCACTATATCCCCCAAAACGGGGCAGGTCCTCAGGGAACACGTGTTGGATAACAAACATGGGGACAGGAGTGGAAAGAGACTCCACCTGATCAGAGTCCTTGCGGCCACTGTTGAATGCATCGGGCACAGCCAGCTGCGGGTAGAGGCCCCGGCCCAGCACCAGCTTGAGCAGGACCAGCTGGTCACGGGTCAGGTCCTGGGCTAAGCTGGCAGCCGCCTGCAGCTGATTCAGGTTGTGCCGGAGCTTGAACGTCACGTCCTGTGGGAACATGGGCAGAAAGGTGGCTCTGTGGACCCGCCCACTCTGTCTGAGGGGCTATGCTGGGGTGTGTGGACCCGGGGCATCACACACACTTCAGGGTTCAGTCCTGCCCACAAAAAACTGTCCCCCAAGCCAAAAGGAGGACAGGCGTGTCCCCTCAAGCCTTTGGGGCAGGGCCCTTTCTCTTCTCTGGTCCACTCCACCCACCCACCCCAGCCCAAAAGCCAACCTGGATGTCCACACTGTCACTGGCCCCCCGGGAGCCTGGCCCCCCACGCTCCTCATCACTGGAGCAGCCAGCCAGGTCCTCCTGCAGACGCAGCACCTTGCGCCTGCGGCCTGCGCCCTCTTCGTGCTGCCGCTTCAGCTGCTGCAGGGCCTGGCGCTCACAGCGCTGCTGCAGCCGGCTCGAGCTATCCCCAGTGGGCACGGCCTGGACTCCAGTCAGTAGCCCATGGTCCTCCAGCAGCTCCTGGGACAGGAAGAGTACAAGTGAGGGACACGGGCCCTGGCTGAGAGGCCTCTGGGCTCAGATACCTCAGCACACAGCTGAGGACTGCCACCGGCCAGCAAGTTTCGGCCTCTTCCCAGCCATCATTTTCCTCCAAGAGCCACCTCCCAGGGATGTGGGAGACAGAGGGGACTGTATGGGAGTGACCATTAGCACTGGTATGGGTACTGCCCATGGTGGCTTAGGGAGCACCTGGGTGGACACAGGAGGAACACAAGAAGGGAGGTCAAGGTGGCTGCAAACCTGGGGAGGCCCTGGCCCTTGTGGTCCCAGAGGCCATCAGTGCTTCTCAGAGCAGGCCCTCCACTACAGCGGCTGCACTTGGATATCTGGGACCTGCCAGAAGGGCTAACACGTGGGCCCCAGCCTAGACCTCCAGAGTCAGAATCTTCGGGTGGGGAAGGTGTGGGGAATGTGGATGGAAAGACTCCCCAGGTGACTTGGAGTGTCCTGGTCCTCTACCCTGCCCACACCTTTGTCAACAGTATTCAGATGACCCAAGCTGAAGTGATGGTTTCCTGCTGTGTCCCTGGCTGACGGAAGACATGATGTACATGCCAGCGTGTGTGTGTCAGTGTGCACAAAGGGCCCACAGCGTCCATCACAGTCTCAAAGTGCCTGGGTCCCACAAAGGTAGAACCACAGCTCTAGAACCTATGGATGTCAAGAGGGACTGAGAGGCAGAACACCTGTGGTCCCCACATGAGGACTCTTGAAATCACGGGGGCAGGGGGGTGGGGGAGGGACAAACAGAATGGCTCAAGCAGTAACAGCACCTGTGTAGCAAGCACGAGGCCCTGAGTTCATTCCCCAGTACTGCCAGAAAAAAAAAAAAAAAGAAATCACAGGAGGGCCTCAGCTGGGTGACATCAACTCAGCCTCAATTTGCCCATCTGCACCTGGAGACCAGCAATCAGCCTGAGTCCCCTTTTGTCTTCACCCTCACATGCTGCCCGACCACTGTGTGCAGCAGATGGAATGAACAAGTTGCGGAGCACGTGGAACCAGCAGGAGTCCATTTACGGCTCTGTCCTCCACTCACCTACACAAGGACTGTGACAACAGCATGCCACCTGGGCGCTGTCCTAGCCATCTACACTATGCTCACTCAGCTCACCCTTGGAAAGTTGCAAGAGAAGCGCTACCTTCCTCTCATTTTCAGAGGGGCCCAGATACCAGCAGCAAGGCATGGAGGTCACACTCAGCATGTGGCAAAGCTAGGATTCAGTGCTGGATGTCAGCCTCCAGGTATGTCAGCCCCACCATTGCCCGGAACTGAGCTCAGTATCCCTGGTCCAGAAGTTCAGCTTCTTCATGAGACTGCACGGCACCACTGACCTAGCTCCCTCCCTCCTCCAGGAAGTCCTTCTGGAGTTCCTCCCCTCTCTGCCATGCTCAAGCATGGCAGGGGGTGGGGAGGAGAGGCCTCTAACCCACCTTGAACTGGCGCCGCAGGTTGGCCATCTCGTACAGCCGATGCTCCTCAATGCCCCGGCAGCGGCACCACTTGCGTGAGTTCCTGCCCCGCTCAGCCTTCACCTGGGAGAAGACACCAAAGAGTCAGGGCCTGGTTGGCTGCATGGCAGGGGATCCACAGCCCAGACACCACCACCTGGGAGGATTCAAGGCAGGTAATGAGGCTATGGCCTCCCTTAGGGCTCACCTCTCATCCCCCTTCCAGTTCTAGTCCCAAGGTGCCTCCTATAGTCCCCACGGACCCTACAAAGGCCAGGCGCCCCTCTGTCCTCTCCAGCCCCTGGGCTCTCATCCCAGCCCTCTCTGCATCATCTCTACACTGGATTGTGCACCAGGAGGGGTTGGACAGTAGGGGAGGGACAGGTCCCCAACACTGCCCAGTACAGGGCTGGGGCCAGAGCTCAGGGATGGTGTGTTGGGGACACAGATGTCCTTGTGGAGGCTGTGCCTTTCTCCAGAGGCAATGGTTTCAATGGTGCTTTGGAAACCCTGGGCTCCCTGAAGACCCTGTGCTGAGAGCAGAATGATGGAGACAGGGACTTCCACAGGGTTCCTGCCCCTAGTGGAATGACAGACAGACAGCGAGCTTGGCCTCCAGCCTCACCTGCACCCAGGCATTGAAGACATTGAAGAGTGTGAAGGGATCACCCTGATCGCTCTCCAGGGGCCGCCGTGTGGACACACAATCCAGGTTGTTCTGGGCACTGCGGGTGAAGGGTGACTGGACACTGAGGGCAGCAGCGATGGTGAGCACAGGCTCCGCCAGGCTGAACATGGCACCCAGGATCAGCATCTTCCCTGGGCAGGAGGGCACTGTGTTGAGTCTCACGCCCCGCACTTCCCCACCTCCACTTCCCCCATCTTGCTCACACAGGGCCTCAGGAGCCAGGTGAGCAGATTGAAACCCCCATGCTGGGCTTTCTGGTCATGTGACCTTGGCCAGGGATACAATTTCCACCTGTCAGTTGAAGACCAGAGTTCAGAGCTCCTGTGTCCTCAGGAGGCACCTGGCCCTGTTTAATGCTGGCCACAACTGTTGGCCACACTTCTGTTCACGGGCTCCCTAGCACTCCCAGCCCCTCCCCACCTTCATTTTCCTTTCCCACACTTCTTCAGACTGCTGCGGTGCCCATCTCTTCACTCCAGTGGGACCTGAGCAAATTGCACACTGGCCTACTCTGACGCACAGGTGCTGACTTCGTGCCTACTAAAGGTTGAATCTTCTGCTGTCTTGGCTTAGTTCAAAGGTGGGATGGGAGAAGGGGGCCAGGAGGGAAAAGGGAGGAGGAAAAAGGAGGGGTGGGCAAGAGGCAGGGAGAGAGAAGAAGGCACCAGGGAGAGCAGGAAAGGACTCAGAGGGGGAGACACATGGTAGGAGCAAAATCCCAATGTGGCAAAAAGTAGATGGAAACTGTTACACCAATAGGAAACTAGACACCCCCTGGCTCTGAGAACCTGAACAGAGCAGAACCTCCCGTGACACAGACCCTGCTGGCCTGCCAGTGATAGTGGCTTGAGTGTCATGTGTCTCTCATACTCACCATTCCCATGACCAAGTGTAGACAAAAGTGCCTGTCATACTTAGGCCCCACCAAATAAAGGAGGGTGGTGAAGCCAGGGCCCAGGCTGGGCCACCAGGGCTGTATCCTGTTCCAGTGATACTTAGCTCTGTCACCTGTGACAAGTCCTTTCACCTCCCTGTGCCTATTTCCTGACTGTAAAACAAGGCATCAGCTCCTAGAATAAACTGTGTTTCACCCTGTCCAACACTCAGAACCTGGCCTAGCACAGGGGATATCCAACAGGGGTCATCTGAACCTCTCACCTCCCACTCTGCTACCATGGGTACTTGGGCAGCCAATCTGCATGCCCCGTTTCCTCACATGAAATGAGTCACTTCCGCCCTCCTCCATGATGTGTGTGGAGCATGTGGCATCATATCCAACCCAAGCCAAGCTCTGCTGCTTGCTTGCTCCACACACACCCTGGGGATACATTGTTTCTCCTGTGGGCTGCAAGGCATGGTGGGAAAAAAAGTTCTGGAGTCAGTATAGTCAGCCAGAAGAGCACCAGTGGCTAAAACCTGTAATTACAGAAACTCAGGAGGCTGAGATTGGGAGGGTCATGGTTCTAATCAGCCCAGGCAAAAAAGTTTGCAAAACCCCCATATTAACAGAAAGCTGGGTAGTGGTGGTAAGCACCTATAATCCCAGCTACTGTGGGCAACATAAATAGGAGGACAACAGTCCAGGCCAGCCCAGCAAAAAGTGAGATCTTATCTCAAAAATAACCAGAGCAAAAAGAGCTGGAGGCATGGCTCAAGTGGTAGAGCACCTGCCTAGTAAGCATGGAGTGGAATTCAAACCCCAGTACCACCAAAAATCCCCAACTGGCTTGGCCAGCAACATGCGGGGGT